TGTCAGTTATGAATGGCTTCAAGAGGTCATACAAACTGGACTCTTATAACGGCTCCACATACCTGTCCCCTAACAACGTGGTTGTGCCCCCGTCTGTGGACTGGCGTACGAAGGGTTATGTGACCGATGTTAAGAACCAGGGTATGTGTGCCGCACTATATCATGACTGTCCGATTAGTTGACTAACTGTTTTTGATGCCTTTCCCCGTTTCATAGGTCAGTGCGGCAGTTGTTGGGCGTTTAGTTCTGTATGTATTATACCTGTCATTAGACTTTATAACAAATATTTAATTAAAATTATTTTCTCTGTTATCTAATAGACGGGTGCACTGGAGGGCCAGCACTACCGCAAACTGGGTGTCATGACATCCCTGTCCGAACAGAATCTGATTGACTGTTCCCACAATTACGGTAACGATGGCTGTGAGGGCGGGCTTATGGACAACGCCTTCACATATATTAAGGAGAATCACGGCATCGACAAAGAGAACACTTACCCCTACGAGGCTAAGGTATGTCTACCTTTCCAACCCTTAAAAAGTATACCACTAACACATTGTCTCTCAATAGGACCGCAAGTGTCGATACAAACCGCGAGACATCGGCGCCACTGACTCTGGATTTGTGGACATCCCGGCCGGCAATGAGGATCAGCTGAAGGAGGCGGTGGCGACTGTGGGCCCGGTGTCGGTGGCCATCGACGCCTCCCACGAGTCCTTCCAGTTCTACTCGCAGGGGGTGTACGACGAGGAGCAGTGCAGTAGCGAGCAGTTAGACCACGGGGTGCTTGTGGTGGGCTATGGCACCACTGCCGACACCAAAGAGGACTATTGGATTGTGAAGAACTCGTGGGGCACCCAATGGGGTGACGGCGGGTATATCAAGATGTCCCGCAATAAGAGCAATCAGTGCGGTATCGCCACGTCCGCCTCCTACCCCCTGGTGTAGGTGTCTGTCCACACATTTCGCACCCCCTGTATATCATATAACTATAATTTCATAGCCCTGAACACTACAAACACCTGACCCCAAGTCACCACCACATCCCTGTCTATATCTATATTAAGGTCATAATTATGATTATATTTCTGTAATGAATATGAAGTGATATTTTCGATACGATTTGATAATTATCTTATGATTTGTCTTTTAAATGAAACTTATGTTTAATTATGTTCACGATATCCCTGCTTACAGTATGGGTCTGAAAAATAGTCACAATTTTAAATCTGATTTATTCTCATTGCTATTAAACTTTTTTATAATTAATTAAATTTCGTTTTTATGTATAAATTCAAAAGGTTTTGTCCCCTCTTTTCAACTTTTTTCTCTCAATTATAAACTCATTTTGTGATTAATTTGTTTGATTTTTTGGTCACAATTTGTCGCGTGTTTTCTCCCAAAGCAATAAAATCTTTGAACTATATATTCAATTAAATAAAACTCAATACATTTTATTATAACTACAAATAGAAATTTATTTTAGCTATAAATCGTTTTATACATGCTTTGATACCAAATATGTGTATGAAATATAATTATATTAAAAATACAATTTATAAATAAATAAATATTTAATTTTTACAAAACTTGTAATTAATTTTTAACAAGATTTAATGTGCTAAACATAATTAATATTATTTCACTTACACTAAGTCTTACAGACTAGTGATTCAATTACTATCAATAGACATTTAATTGAGTCAAAACAAAATTCTTGAATAATGAATCACAAGTTAGTAATAAAATATAAAATTACTTATCAAATTATGCACAACCAGGGCACTAATTAAATGAATCGTTGAGATCACATCTAAATGACTAATACTTTTGTTTAAAATTAAATTTGAATGTATCAATTCTCAATAGTAACTATTGAATAGTATTCCTATTGAATACTATTGAATAGTATGAAATTCATAAAGCAATACACAATTGCAGTATTCCTGGTGCTATCGTGAAATACTAATATTATCTATTCGAGAGTAAATAACTATACAAATTAGTAATTTATTTACATTTAAAAAGTGAAATATTATGTGTTGTATGAATTGCTGAATGAGAAATTTTACCTTTTACCTACTCTATAGGTAAAAGTTGTTTGATTAATAAGTAGCTATAAATCAAATACCTGGACATATTAACCACATACAGTAATTCCTTATTATAACAAGTGCTCTTACAGTACTGTAAAAACTTATTGTTTTGAAAAGTCGTCTAAAAATGCGATTCCTATTACCGGCACTGGTATTCATCATCATCGCACTGGTAGCTAGCATTGAGTCCTTAGCTCTGACCTATAAAGAAGTGGTCGTCGAGGAATGGGAGACATTTAAGGCCCGCCATAACAAGCAATACACTGACAAGTCTGAGGAGAACTTTAGGCTCAAGGTATTCATGGAGAATAAGCAACGGATCGCCAAACATAACAAACGGGCCGCCAATGGACTCCATGGGTTCACTCTGGCTATGAACGAGTTCGGAGACCTACTGTCCCACGAGTTCGTGTCAGTTATGAATGGCTTCAAGAGGTCATACAAACTGGACTCACATAACGGCTCCACATACCTGTCCCCCCATAATGTTGTAATACCTGCGGAGGTAGACTGGCGTACGAAGGGTTATGTGACCGAAGTTAAGAACCAGGGTATGTGTTCCCTATAACATGCCTGGCCAATTAAGTTAGTTGGCTAATTTTTATTATCCCTTTCCCCGTTTGACAGGTCAGTGCGGCAGTTGTTGGGCGTTTAGTGCCGTATGTGTTATCATTATAATTACATATAATACCGATTACATAAAGTTTTATTAAATAACTATCCAGGTATAACTTTACTTTAATAGACGGGTGCACTGGAAGGCCAGCACTACCGCAAATTGGGTTTTATGACATCCCTGTCCGAACAGAATCTGATCGACTGTTCCCATAATTACGGTAACAATGGCTGTGATGGCGGGGCTGCCATCAGCGCCTTCGCATATATTAATGGGAATCACGGCATTGACACCGAAAACGCCTACCCCTACGAGGCTAAGGTATACCTATCCGTCCCCTCCATACGCCTAAACTAACCACACATTCCCACCCAATAGGACCGCAAATGTCGATACAAACCGGGAGACATAGGCGCCACTGACTCTGGGTTTGTGGTCATCCTCCCGCTCGGCAGTGAGGAGAAGTTGAAGGAGGCGGTGGCGACTGTGGGCCCGGTGTCTGTCGCTATCGACGCCTCCCTCAAGAGTTTCCAGTTCTACTCTCAAGGGGTTTATGACGAACAGGAGTGTAGTTCCGTGCAGTTAGACCACATGGTGCTTGTGGTGGGCTATGACACCACTGCCGACACCAAAGAGGACTATTGGATTGTGAAGAACTCGTGGGGCACCCAATGGGGTGACGGCGGGTATATCAAGATGTCCCGCAATAAGAGCAATCAGTGCGGTATCGCCACCTTCGCCTCCTATCCCCTGGTGTAGGTACCTGTCCACCAGTGAACATCGACTTTTAATTTAAGATATAAATAGTTTGATACCAAATATGTGTATAAAATATAATTAAATTTAAAAAGAGTTTATAAATAAATACTTAATATTTCCTAAAATTTGTAATTATTTTTGCGACAAAAGTTTTGTCTAACTTTTAAATTACCGCACATTAAGGGCACGTTATTTGTGGACAGAAACACATATGATTTAATTTATAGTCAACTCCCGGATATAACAAACCAAATTAAATAATTAATTAACCCTCATACAACATAAATTTAATTTCAAATTACCAAGATTAATAATTATGACCCTACCACTAACCCATTCATATGATATACACACGATAACATGTGCGATTAAATCCTGTGTTCACTATAGCGAGTGTTGACTGTATTATATCGGATGAAAACAAACTATATTTAAAAGTTTGACTCAATTTTGTGCCACAAATGCAAAGCGAGTGAAACACTTGACTCCGACATAACGGCGCGTTTCGTACGTTCCCTCCGATTGAGGTTCACTCATATCATTACCGAATTGGTCCCCAAGACATCACTGACACCCATACTATCACCGCATATGCCGTCCAAATACTATGCCGTCCGGAGGGGCCGAGCGCCGGGAGTTTACAACTCGTGGTATGGCTTATGATCCCATC